TAGCAATAAAGGTTGAAAACTCACTATGAAAGATGAATCCAATACATGTTGTACATGGTCATCTGAATGAATTTCCCCGTAGGTTCAGAGACTGACAACACAGTCAGTCTACAACACATGCGTTAATGCGGTCAAATCCTGAAATTTACGTGCAGGGCAAACCGTGTGGTTTTAGCCACGAGAATTGCATGATAAAACATGAGAGTGATTCCATTTTTGGTCAATATTTCATCCTTTGTGGTTTGCTGTACAAATGTACTACATGTATGTATGTTTTGGGTTGGCTGTTCAGGGATGTTGATGGGCTAATTACTGGGCAATGACTACTGGGTGTAGGAACTGGACTTAACTTAATGAATATTCAAGCCGGGAGGGGGGAGTCCAGGCATGGAGTGCTTGAATGCTGGTCCACTCATACCCATGCCAACTCATACACTGACCAACTCGAATGAGTTCCGACTCATATGCCAACTCGTACGCCAAATAGGCCTATACACATTTTCCCAGTTCTGGATTGCAAAAATGATTCAGTCTGACAGCAGCTCAAATTCCAAATTCCCCCCAAAATAAATAATGATCTTTTTTTTATTTAGGGGAACGACAGAAGTACATGTAACAACACCTTTTCTAGTACAGGATCCATTTATCTACCGGTAAGTTCTGGATTACTTCAAACTTTCTTCATGCATAAAAAGTACTCAAGCTAAAAAAAACTGTGACCACTGTAACGGTGACAGGTTGATTCTGCACAATGAAACATTCCAGTCAACTTGTGTCAATTTCGACATGATTGTTTTGGCTACACAATGACCCACGGATTACATCTCCCACGTCACACTGCTGAAAAACCCATTATGTTACCTACAAATCTGTCACACGCGTGTATCGAGTTCATCACATAATGTGTCTCATGCACAAAAAAACTGTGCCTTCACCCACCTGGAAAAAATACAGCATAAGAATGCCTAAGATGTCCCAGAATATGAATGTATTCATTCATTCCTGGTAACACTGGGTTGTGGCAATGTTGTCAAGTCGTAGCTTTCGCTCTCTTTGTGATGCAAAATTCCTCATTTCGAAAGAAAATTATCCTTTGCATTTTTACATCTTTTCCACAACAGATTCTCTGAAATACAGCATGAAATAGAAGATATACAATTCATTTCTTCATAAATCACACTAGTTAGCCAACCAACTGTATAAAACTTGGAAAATCTGCCAAATTCTGCATACTGCTGCAGCGCATTAAATATGCATTAGACAGGCCACTAGTCGGAAGCTCACGTATATTGAGCATGTAAACAAAACGACTTCTGTGTGCCCTGCGGAGACCATATAGATTTGCAAGTATGTGCCCTACAAAATCAATGGAACTACATGTAGTGTGACCACTTTGTGTCCACATTTCTCAGCCAACTTTGTGACACACTTGTTCCCACAGATGAAAGCAGGACATTTCAATCGCTCATGTATAGCAGATGCTGAATGAGGAAGAAAGCGGGGCAGACAGAGGTAAAGTTTCAGCAACAAGCCTTGTCAGAATGGTCTTCATGATATCCAGGTTAATGTGCTTTTTACAGGTGGAAACTTCTCCCATCGTACCTGTGGTAATACAATACTCTTCTGGAAATCAATCATTGCCTGGACTTGACGAGAAAGAAATTGGACGTGATGTTCCTCCTCATTGTTCAGTTACAGACTGAACATGTCCAACGAGACGTTTTTGTCTTCAAATCCATCAACGGGACACTGACCTTAACAAAATGATGGGACATTATCTACTGGGATGTCTACATGTACATGTAGGTTGGTAATAACTTGTCCTGCTCATGTCTATGTTTGCAAGGTGTATTTTTGCGTTGGGGAGATGTTAATTTCTATAACGCGTTTTGCCCGTCGTGGGTTCGAGTCCCACCCAAGTAAGCTTGTGACTTTTTTCGCAAGCTCTCGGATGAGCACTGAGCATACAGTGTTTATTAATATATACGTTGGGTAAGGGCAAAACCCGTTATATACACGTAAATTAACATGTCTATGTTTGCTGATAACCTCTTTTTTATACTATTTTTGTGGAATTCAGTTCTTTACCTTTTTTGGTAGAAAATTTCACTGTGGTTGATTTTAAAATATCTCTGGCACACAATTTGCATCTGAACAATTTTATTGTAGAACACAGCATCAGCAGCTCAGACCAGGAGCAACAGAACTAATTTATCTGCATTGAATGACATCACACTTTGGCTCATGAAAATCTTCATCAGTATAAAGTTTCTATACATCTATTAATTTAGTGTGGTGATTGGTGTGAGCACATGTACATGTACTGTTATTATCCAAGGCTTTGTGCATCCTCATAAAAAATGTGAACTCCAAGGGGCTTTCATGGTGCCCTCTGTTGACTCTACCCCAACTTGTTCATCCAGTTGTAGTCTTTTTCAAGGGCAGTTACATGAAGAGATGATGGGCAGATCAGTTATCTCCATAAAAAAATCCTGAATTCTGAAACTTTTATTCTAGATTAGTCAGTAAAGCAATCTTTTCTGTTCTTTTCATTTCAAGAACTGTACCCGTGTACCGGTAGCCTTAATAGCCTTTATACACACAAAAGGGATTTGAACCCTCACTCTGACAAACACTCAAAAAAAAAGTTCAATAAAAAACGACAGAACACTAACTTATTATTCAAAGCATGTGTTTTATTTACATACTTTACTGACATGGAAATGTGAAAAACGTACATGTACATGCATTCATTCACCAGCAACAGAACGAGGGTTGTAGCTAGGAATAGGTGGATTGTTCAAGTGTTGTAATTAACTAGTTGCAGTCTAAGCGTATGTAAACTTTTGACCACAAAAGGATGTTTAAGAGTCCAATGATAAGAATGATTCCGTAAGGAGACAAAGTGACCAGAGTTTGTCACTGCATGAGAACGAAAAATTCACTATTTGTTTTTTACAATGCCTGATCCGTTATGGGATGGGCCGCGCATAGCATAAACCGCACCCTACAAAAGGTAACAAATTAAGATTTACAATAAGTGTATTAACCACACCGCTGTATAAGCCACACCACAGTGCCGACGGTGTCCAACCACATATTAAAGTCGCTGCACGTGCCGTATGCCAAGGTGCCGGTAAATGCACATGTACAGTATTCATTCCCTTGCCTTTCCTCATCTACTGGCAGTGCAACCAAATCTCTTTGTTGAAACCTTCATATCCATTTGGTTAAATACTGGTACGTTTGCATTCATGATACAGGCTTTTGAACCTTTGTGTACAATTTCAGTGTCGTGAAATTTTGTCCAAATTCAAACAGGTCGGTATCCAGAAACTGGGCAAGAATTCAGCTGAGTGTCCCCTAACTTGATGCACTTGAAAAAAATCTCAGAAAATCCCACAAAAACATTCCAAAAGTTCTTTAAAATTGATAAATTCTAGTAAACCATTATGACCTCCGCTCACATACCTAACTATAAGTTTGTCAACAAAATTATTTGAGGCGCATTTTAAAAGAGTTCATTTGGCACTTTGGAAAAAACATTGGAAAATCGGGCCAAAACAAAATTTCATCAGAACTTTGTAGCAGGTACAGGAAATCAAGATTTGTGAATCAAGATATGGAGAGTTTAAATTTTACCTTCTGTGAAATTTGAGGTAAAAATATTGACCCAATAAGACACCGACACAAAAGCGAAAAATTCCAAGTTCCATACGTGGCCCAGGCTGAGGCACAGCTTCCGTGATTCATTGCATTCTTCAATCTTGCCATGTAAGCTGCCCAGAGTATAAGCCGCAGGGAACTTTTTCAGCATGAGAATCAATGCATAAGCAGTGGTCTAATATTCTGAAAATCACGGCAAATCCAAAATCCCTGCAAAACTTAAAAAATGTCCACCTGAAAAACCTTCTCCATTATACGTCTGAAATTTGTTATGAATACGGCAAAGGACTTGTATATTTACATGTACCTTGGAATATATGTATAACTTTTACTTTATCAGTGCGACTATGCCATGCACTGGAACAAACAATTCCACTGGCATGTGATCAATGACCCACCACTGAGATGACAGAGAGATGTCAGGTGCTTTATAATCATCATCATTATTAAAGCAGTATCTTGACGTTGTCAATAGCAGTACTGTGTTCTTTGTTTTTGTGATACATGTACAAATACACACATCTCGAGTGCATCCACAAGATCACATTGGTGAAGACAATGTTGACTGTATCTCCATCGTATACAGTAAATTCAACTACATGTAATTTTGTTGGGTACAAAATATAACCATTGCAACACTGATCAACATGTGGACTCTTTGCACAAGCACCTGTGCTCTCAGTGGTAAACTCATTGCAGTTAATGTTAGACAATTTCTGCCCATATACCAGTGAATGATTCACTAATTACTGGTGCCATTACTGAGACAAAGGCTGGTTTTCAACACCTGCGTTCTAAGCCTAGAAAATACACATAAAGGGAAGACTGAGAAAAACAGTCTGCTTAAACTCTGTCTTGTGATACATTTACATCGAATTTCCTGGTATGCATAAATTAACTCTTGCATGTACATACAGTACATTGATGACAGAGTGCCCTCCATTTGCACTTGTTCGAGGTGGCAAAAGGGCCTTCTATCAGGCACAAAAACCATTCAGGAAAAACTATTCCTTCTTTGGGGGATATAATGCACACTGTATACATTATACATATGTTTATGTATACTGTTTATTAGATATTGCTGTACATGCTTAAGTACTCCCTTGATGCTAACAGAGTTAATGGCAGGCACTTGAGAAAATGCCATACATCCAGCGACCGCGCACAGACCAAAACATTTTGTGCACATTCTGATAAAAATTCATGGAGCTCACTGGAGTTCTGGCAAGCAGTTACACTAGGCACTATTTCCTATCCTCACACATGGTTTCTAGCACTACAAGGGAAGGAGTGAAGAGGGGAAAATGGTCGGAAACCCCAGAAGAGAAACTTACCTCTATCTTCACCACTGTCCCTCTCCCTCTGCTTGTCCTGCATCCTGTTGAAGGAGCAGCGCTGCTCGTCCATGCGCTTGCCCTGGAAGCGACTCAGCACGTCAAAGAAGCTGTCGTCGTCATCCATGATCTCTGGGGAAGATCGCTGTGGGGGTGGTGGGGGGTGAGGGGTGGTCGTAACAGTAAACAGTCAAGCACAATTACTCTATCATAAAGCATCAACATAATACATGTAGCTTCAGTGTCTGGTGACACACTTGACTGTAGTACATGAGCAACTTGTAATGTCCGTCAAGATGGTGTCTCTCAAGGATGTTGTCAAAGAGATATCATATCTGGGACAGATTGGGCTATCTGGGTCAGATTGAGCTATCAGATTCAGATTAGGCTGTCTGAGAAAGATCAAACACTGACTCAACACAAATGGTCTCACTCCCTCAGACATTCAAACCAATGAACAGGACAAAATGGCTCAACAATGTTCCGGTAGCTGCGGAAATGTTCTTGATCTCTGAATATACACTTGAACAGTCCCCAAACTACCACAGGTGATACAACTCACCAACTGCTTCCATTCTGAACTTTATCAGATTATGCAAACTATGCTAATAAAGTTAGAACAGCCCTACCATGCAACACTGCAATCGTGAGACAGGATCTATGTTAGTTGACAAAAATACTCCCTATAATTCATTGTGATCTGGGATTGATAGCGAGTTTTAAGGGAAGTTCAAGTACATGTACACGTACAAGAATGTATTCAAAGTTTTCGTAAAAGGAGTCGGAAAAAACTTTGCCACTAAAAGTTTATGTTGAAAAGTGAACAATGAGCAATGACGACTTTGTCCCTCCCCACAGACTATGTGCTATAATGGAGCTGCTGGTTAACCACTTCCTGCCGGGGACTCCCGAATCGGAGATGTATGTTTATATGCGTGGCCGGGTTCTCCGAACTCAGACGAAGGAAACAGGGCCCTGTAACAAAAGACCGTACTCCAAACAAAAGACCAGGCTGCTGGGCATTACTGACATTTTTCACTTCCAAAGGTGGTGATAATCCAACCTTGTTTTGAAACCGTGTACAAGGGTTTGGGGCATTGAGAGTGAGCGGATTACCACCGGGGACAAAAGAGCTCCACCACCGCAGCGATGAGCCTCACAGCACCGCTGCATGCTAATCTGGCCTCTATTGAAAAGAGGTCAGCAGCACACTGTGTCAGGTTCTTGAACAAAAGAAAGTTACATAACACCGCACAATCTGGGCTCTTTTTACAAGGCTGCAGGCCTGGCTGATATACTCGGGCGTCAATGAAGGTCACCTGTCAACTTAGAGCAGTGCCTAAAGATTAC